ATATTCCTGAAAATATGCTCTAAAATCCTATTTTTGATAACAATTAATTATGAACAATACAAATATGATTTTGTATAATAAAAATGATGTTTTAGGCATATAAAACATTATGTGATGCATGACGGTAAGTTAGAGTGTTAACACTCAAAACTAGACCGCTATTTGTTATCAATTGTTATGTTGATTAATGATTATGATGAATGATTATTATGGATGATCATGAATAATGAACTAACTAATCAAAATGATTATTGATGATTCAGCCATGAGAGTAATGAATATATTGATAATTATTAAACGATTTGTATTGTTAAACGGTATCTAGAAGAACTCTAAGATATACCTATTAGTTAATTGATGTTAAGGCTATCTAGAAGACCTCTAGAATAAATGGGATTCATAGACCAAACTAGAGGATCACTCGTTTGGGAATGCCCGATCTAATGTTGATCAATCGCTATATTGTTGTTGCCTTAACTGACTACAGTTAAGTGTCCGAATCATTTGCCTTAAACTAGTGATAGTTTAAGTGTCTGATTGCCTTAACTGACTACAGTTAAGTGTTTGAAATCAATTGCCTTAAACTAATGATAGTTTAAGTGTCTGATTAATAATTGCCTTTTAAGGATATGGTTATGAAAATTATGATTTGGCCTTAAACTAAGAATAGCTAAGAGTATTGTTATTATCTGGCCTTAGACTAAGAATAGCTAAGAGCATTGTTATGATATTGCCTTAGACTAAGAATAGCTAAGAGCATTGTTATTATTTGGCCTTAGATTTAACAATAATTTAAGGGCACTGTCAGAATAATATCTGAATTGAATAAAATGTGTTGATATGAACTGAACATTATCAAAACTGTGAATGTCTGAAATGAACATTGTGTGCATGATATCAAATGATTTGATTATGAATTTAGATTCAGTTTATATGGATGTTCGACGCATTAGATATGCTTACTCAGCTTTACCGCTGAGCGTGTAGTGTGTTTTAATTGCTACACGCAGGTAAGCAGAAAGCAGAATGTGATCCTGGCGGCAGATGGGGCGAGATTATCGGGATGGATGTGACAAGTTTTGAAACAATTTATGATATGTCAATATTAAAATGGCTTCCGCAATATTGTTGAATACTCCGTATTGTATATGTATTGAAAAATATTATTGGGATTAATAAAGTGTGTTTGAAAAGTTTTAAATTTTTACGATTACCAAGTTAAATACTTTAGTCCGAATGGGGCTGCAGACCTGGATGGATTAGGGTGTTACATAAACTAGCCTTTGCTTAAGGTACAAATCTAGAGAACCGAACAGTAGGATACTAACTGTCGGGTTGGGTGGCATCCCCAAACGAGTTCCTCTAGTTTGGTTATGGATCCCGTACGTACGTTTTAACCCAGGCCACCGAATATTCATAATTATACCCGCAAGGCCTATTTCTAAGTCATCTTAGAGGTCTTCTAGATAGTCTTAGAAACCAACGTCAACCTAGGTATATCTTAGAGTTCTTCTAGATATCCTTAGAATTCAAATCATTTCATAATCATCAACATATTCATTTCAATTCATAATTTAATCTTCAATAATCATTTTAATCAATAGTTTCATCAAGTCATAATCATCATAATAATCATTCATCATAATCATCAATCAACATAACATTTGATAACAAACAGCGGCCTAGTCTCGAGTGTTAACACCCGAACTTACCGTCATGCATCACATAGTATTTTATATGCCAAAAACATTTTTTTATTATACAAAATCATATTTATATTGTGCATAATTAATTGGTATCAAAAATAGGATTTCATAGTTCAAAAATCATGTTTTCTAAACAATAATTGATTAATATATGATAGGAAATTCAATTATTAACTATTAGCTTCATTTTCTTCAATAGTGTAGGGAAACAGTCTACTGTCACTTCTGATAATCTACTGTCTGATGTTCAGAATG